CCCGCGGACGCCGGCCTACAGCACCCACAGACTGCAACCAGCAAGCTGCGGCCCCAGCCGCCCACCCACTCCCTCTCCCCTCCTACGATTGGACACTGATGAACTCCGACATGGCATAACGGACTCTCCCCATCCTCACGTCCTGACTGAAACCTCCCTCCTCTCCAACCCGATCAGCATTCTGCCCACCCTAGCATGCCACCTGCACTCCTCCTCTTCGTTCTCCTCTCCTCGATCCCCAAACTTGCCTCCCTCTACCTCCCTACTCCCCCAAAACAGCTCTACATTGCACCCTCACTTCTTCCCTCCCCCTCTATGGCTCTCACCACCTCCTCCTAATACTCCACTCCCCCGCCGACCCACATGCCACCACCAACAGACCCACGTGCTCCTGCACCTCCCGTTCTCATGCCACCTTCCTCACCCTCCTCCTTCTCCTAACCGCCGGTGACATCTCCCCGAACCCTGGCCCTCCATCTCCCCACTCCCCCTCCCGGCACCCCCCTACTCACGCCAACCACCTCAACCCCCTCAATCTCATATCTGTCCCCCTCCTCCCCCACATCCACCCTTCCCCATCCACCCCCTCCTGAACGCCCGTTTGGTTTGCAACAAGCTCACCGCCATCCACGACCTCTTTGTCTCCCACTCCCTCAACCTCCTAGCGGTCACCGAAATCTGGATCCAAGCCACTGACTCCACCTCCCCTGCTGCCCTCTCCTATGGAGGCCTCGTCTGGACCCATTCACCCAGACCAAGCGGACGCAGAGGTGGAGGGGTCGGTATGCTCCTACCACCACTGAGCACCTTCCAGGTCCTCCCTAACCCCCCTCCCTATCCTTCTCCTCCTTCGAGGCCCACTGCATCCGGCTCTTCTCTCCCATCCCCCTAAGGATTGCGGTAATCTATCAGCCTCCTGGTTCCGCATCCCCTTCCTAGACGACTTTGCCTCCTGGCTTCCCTTCTTCCTCTCCTCCGAGCTACCGACCATCATCCTAGGCGACTTCAATATCAGGATCAACGCCAACAGCCCGGCTACGCTATCCCCACTCCAGTCGATCCTAAACTCAGCGGCCAGACTCATCCACCTCACCAAGCGCTCCACATCTGCCTCTCCCCTCTGCCAATCCTTTCATTGGCTCCCGATTGCCCAACGCATCAAGTTCAAGCTGCTAACCCTTACCTACAAGGCCATTCACAATGCTGCCCTGAACTACATAACTGACCTGATACCCAGATACTACCCTACCCGTGCCCTACCCGTGCCCTCCGCTCCTCACAGGACCTCCTACTCTCTAGATCCCTGGTCTGCTCCTCCCACGCCTGATTGCAGGACTTCTCCAGGGCTTCCCCCATCCTCTGGAACTCCCTACCCCAATCCATCAGACTGTCACCTAACCTCATCACCTTCAGGCGCACCCTGAAAACCCTCCTCTTCAGGGAAGCCTACCCCAACCTCACCTAACACCCGACCTCACCTAACAACTAACCTCCTCCACTCCTCCCACTACTCCATCCCCCACAGCCATCTCCTCCTGTACCACCTTCCCCTCCCTCCTAGATTGTAAGCTCGAAAGAGCAGGGCCCTTGAACCTCTCGTGTATTGTATTGTTACTGTCTTGTCTCATGTTCTGTCCCCCTTGCTACTGTACAGCGCTGAGCTAACCCTTTGGTGCTATATAAATACTGTATAATAATAATAATAATAAATATTGTTGTCTGCAGGAGCCTGGAAAGCATTACACCATGGTGGTGCAGGTCTCATGTATTGGATGTATGAGATGTACGGGGATGTATGGGATGTACAGGATGTAAAGGGATGTACGGGGATGTATGGGATGTACAGGATGTAAGGGGATGTATGAGGTGTAGAGGATGTATGAGATGTACGGGGATATATGGGGATGTATGGGGATGTATGGGATGTACGGGATGTACAGGATGTAAGGGGATGTATGAGGTGTAGAGGATGTATGAGATGTACGGGGATATATGGGGATGTACGGGGATGTATGGGATGTAAGGGGATGTATGAGGTGTAGAGGATGTACGAGATATACAGGGATGTACAATGGTGTACAGGGTGTACGGGGTTACAGGATGTACGGGGGGTGTATCGGGGTGTATGGGGTGTTTGGGGATGTACGGGATGTAGGGGGTGTATGGGATGTACAGGGTGTACGGGATGTACAGGATGTACAGGGTGTACTGGGTGTATGGGGATGTATGGAATGTACAGGGATGTACAAGGAATTATCGGATTGTATTGGGATGTATGGGATGTAGGGGGTGTACGGGAATGTACGGGAAGTAGGGGGTGTATGGGATGTACGAGGATGTACGGGGTGTACTGGATGTATGGGATGTACGGGATGTATGAGCAAGCAGATATACTGACAGGAAGAATGAATGAACTACCAGGGCCCCGAATGGGCATGTTTTTTTTTTTAAATTTGACAGCTAGCAAGGGGGGAAGAGGATCCCCTACTGGCTGTCACAGCGGGGATTGGGGGGTGCGGGGGCCAGTCTGATCATTACATGTTACATGTTACCCCCTGAATATGTATGTAACATGTTACAAAAGGTGAACTTATCCTTTAACACTGTTTTCCTTAATAAATGTCAGTGCTGCTGTCTCAGTTTTTTGTCCATCACTAAAATGTGTCACTCCACGGGAAGGATTAGGACCCCCCCCCCAGCATGGTATCTTATGGAATTGGGCATTTTTAAAGGTTCAACATTTAAAAAATTACTGCTGCTGCACTAATGGAATTTTTTTGGGGGGGAATTGGTCCCCCTCCCCCATGCTATTTGTATATCCCCTTGCCTATTAGTTGAGAACATTGTCACTTTACATTTCACAGATTTGGCTCCCATTGATTTCAGTGTAGTTTTGGGTCCATAGTTTGGGTTTGTGGGGTTCTGTGCATGGTGATGATGGGATTTACTATTCTTTATGCCCTCCATTTTCACGGAACGTCTTGTGTACTTAATGATATGTATACCTATTTATCCACCATATATATATATAATGCATCAATCCAGCAATGTGAAAAAATGATAATAAATGATGAATTCTCAATGTGTTTCATGAATAAGGCCACAGAGAAAGTCTATAAGTCTGCAAACATATTATAATAACCATCTAACCATTTTTATATTTTGCTATAACATGGGCAACATAGTGGCTTAGTGGTGGGCAGCACAATGGATTAGTGGTGGGCAGCACAGTGACTTAGTGGTGGGCAGCACAGCGGCTTAGTGGTGGGCAGCACAGCTTTAGTGTAGGCAGCACAGTGGCTTAGTGGTGGGCAGCACAGTGGCTTAGTGGTGGGCAGCACAGTGGCTTAGTGGTGGGCAGCACAGCGGCTTAGTGGTGGGCAGCACAGTGGCTTAGTCGTGTAGGCAGCACCAGTGGCTTAGTGGGTGGGCAGCACAGTGGCTTAGTGGTAGGCAAGCACAGTGGCTTAGTGGTGGGCAGCACAGCGGCTTAGTAGTGGGCAGCACAGTGGCTTAGCGGGTGGAAGCACAGGGGATTAGTGATGGACAGTATAGTGGCTTAGTGATGGACAGCACAGTGGCTAGTGGTGGGCAACACAGAGGCTTAGTGGTGGGCAACACAGCGGCTTAGTGATGGGAAGCACAGTAGTTTAGTGGTGGGACAGCACAGTGGCTTAGTGATGGACAGCATAGTGGCTTAGTGGTGGGAAGCCCACAGTGGATTAATGATGGACAGCATAGGGGCTTAGTGATGGACAGCACAGTGACTTAGTGGTGGGCAGCACAGTGGATTTAGTGGGTGGCAGCACAGTGGCTTAGTTGTGGGCAGCACAGTGACTTAGTGGTGGGCAGCACAGTGACTTAGTGGTTGGAAGCACAGTGGCTTTAGTGGTGCCAGCACAGTGGCTTAGTGGTGGGCAACACAGTGGCTTAGTGGGGGGCAGCACAGTGGCTTAGTGGTGAGCAGCACAGTGGCTTAGTGGTTGGAAGCACAGTGGCTTAGCGGTGGGCAGCACAGTGGCTTCGTGGTGGCAGCACTGGGTGAGAATTACAGTCTCAGGAGAAATACAGGCTGCTCTGGAAAAAGACAGTGTATAGATGTTCCAAGAAGCACAATATGACAAGAGCAGCCGTCTCCTGAGGTCACCTTGTGGGGGGGGGGGGGATTCTCTTTCTATCTTGAACAATTCTTCTGGCAGTTATGGCGGCAATCGTGGTCTGCCTGACCTTGACTTGGCTTCAAGAGGAGAGAAAGAATTTTGGAAGCCGTGTAAGCAGATGATGAGGTGAGCCTCTTAAACCTCTTACTGACTGGTCCTCATAGTGTCCACTGCAGAAGTACATCAGTATGAAACATAAACCTGCACTACTCTACAATACCTGGTTATGTAGAACAAATACATGAGGTGCGGTCTGAAAGAACAAACTTAAACACAGGAGTGGCCGGAGCCAACAAAATACATACTATTGCAAAATAATAGTGCATGTGAATGTGCAAAAAAAAACCCCACACTAGATCTATTAAAGGTTTTCAGCATCAACAAAAACTGAACCCATCTTCCACAAGTCCATGGAAATTATTCTGCACAAAAATGTGTCACTCCTCCACCATGAGCTCAAGAGGACAAACCTTCACCTCCTTGGTTAGGACCTTCAAATGATAAAAGGTCGGAATGGGCAGGTTCCCCTTCAATTAGCCGGGATAAGCTGCACTAGAGGGTTGAAGGTCTTCCCTATCATCAGAGCCAGCTCCAGGGAACATGTACAGCATTGCTGTCAGAGCTCCCGGGTATGACCAGAGGTGTGTGACTGACGCAGGGAAACGCAGACTTCAGATATGTTATAAACAATGTAATTTATTAACACTAACAATACAAACATAAACGCAGTGCAATACTAAAACATAACGCAGTGCAAACAAATCCAACCAACCACCCACAGATAACAATACATACAATGCAAGCGTCGTCAGGCAGGCCGGGTCAATATCAGTCGGGCAGGTAGGTACAGGGGGAGCAAGCGGAGAATGGTCGGGGTCACAGGCCAGGTTCAGCAGGTAGCGGGCAGCGTGGTACAGAGGGTCAGGCAGAGGAGAATGGTCAGACAAGCCAGGGATCAGAGCAGGGTCAGCAGAGAATCAGACAGGAACAGGAAACAGGGCCCAAGAGAAACACAACACCAAGGCAGAGTCTGCAGGTCTGAATGTCCCTTAAATACACCAGTATAATTAGTTCCAGGTGTTTGACTGGCTGCAAGGTTGAGTCTCTGATTGCTGGGAGCACCCACTGGCCAGCCTGGTACTGCAGCTCATAAGGTAGCTGAGTCCCACTATTGCTGGCCAGTCCATTCCTGACAATTGCCACTCAGAAGAAAAAACAAACAAACCATAGTGCTCTCTATTGAAATTCTTAAAACCAGATTGTTTATGATAAATACACTCAAAATCCAAGGAGCACCTTTGGCCTTTAAAGGAACATAAACTACGCATGTCATTTCCTGACTACCCTTCACATTTGTTTTCACTTCTCTGCACCCCCTGGAACCCTAATTCCACACTGCTCCCCCTGCAATCCTCTCCCAACATTTCTCACCTCTGCAC